TTTTTTTTTTTTTTTTTTTCTTTCACGCTTGCAAGAGTCTCAGCGAACGAATCCTAGGGATTTGTTGCTATTTTCTTTTCAACGGAAGGGGGATCGACGTTGGTCAAATGTCAGATTAGTTGGAGCAGATCGTTTGGGGATGAAGGATTTTTTGGCGCACTTTCGTTTCATTTCGTAAAATTTCAGTGGGGTTTCGTAGGCATGGATATTTCGAAGGTTTGGAAAAATGTATGTAAGCGATGATTTGTGCTATAAAGCTCGTACTCGAATTTCTCTGATCAAGAAAGATGTCTGGTGCAGTCGTAAGATTAATAATTGAAAAGAATCGGAATAAAAATGAACGATTTACAGCACTCTGATATCTCTGAATTGAATTTTATTAGAAGAGAAGTAATGATTTCATAAACACATGTACACATGTACACATGTATCGTGGTATTCAATTTAATATAGATAATTATAACGTACATTTAAATGGATGAGTTAAAGAACAGTGGTTTCATTTTAATTATAAAAGATTCGCGAATAAAGTTCAACCACGATGATGTAAACTAAGTTTAGCACGACTGCATAATCGATTGTTGGACGTGCACTATTTGTCAACTTACCAATTCATTTATATTGTAATGTACTATATATGTACGATATTAATATAATTAATATTAACTAGCACACTCTTTCGATTCTGCCACCTTGTTGCCAAGCAGCAACAACAGATTACAAAAGAAGAACAGCTTGCTCTAAATAGTATTTCGTTTAGTCAATCAAACAGTTTCACGGCCATCGTCCTGGAAGTATATAAAAGAAGAAGAAAAGCCACGATCGCAGGCCATGCATGCGGAACGTGTGAATGAGCGTTGAAAAAGTGTCACGCGACATTTGAACGTGATCGTGGGCATCGAATGGCTGAAGATCGGTGAGAAACGACAGTGGCGAAGTTAGCGGGTAATTGTGCGGTTAGGAACCCCCTTGCGGCGTAATGAAGGAGTCGTCAACGAGGCCTATCTGCACTCAATTAGCGTGATTACATGTTCCCTCCTCCTATCGTCAGGAATATCCCGTCGCGACATCATCCACCACGGCCCGCCAAGGGGTGTAATTGCGCGACACTTCCGAGATTGAGCTTTTATGAAAGTTACCATTCGCTGAAGTACTTCTTGCCGGATGGCTGACACGAAGCTTCCGCTCGAGGAAAACGACATTCAAGAGAGGAGACGTTCAACGCGCGACGATAGGTAAAGGTGAAGAGAGTATATTATATTTTAATTAATTAAATAAAGTGAGAAGATATATTATAATTAATTGAATAAAAGAGAATATTTTATATTATTAGAAAAGGTGGAGAGAATATATTATATTAC